ATTTGTTCATCATGTATTCTAGTAGTGAATACATGGATACTTTTTTTTTTAATAGTTCACGGGGCGGAACATCTCCGCCCCACCCGGAGACCCGAGATGGGGCGCCCTGCCCCGCCAACCCGTTCGGGGTGATTTTTTTAGCCCCATTCGGGGCGGGGCACCGCTGAGGCGGTTTTTTTGCTATCTCTAATCTCTATGGCTTTGATACCAATAAAGGGGTTGTGTAACAATAAATAAATAAAAAAAAATAAAATCAAATAGAATTTTTAAGGACCAAAATGAAATTGTTTTATATTAGAATGACTTGTTTGAAATTTTTATATTGAGAGTATTTTAAGAACTTTAAAATTTTAAAATGGTCAAAGGCTATCTTTAATTTTGGGTATTTTCATGTATTTCCCGTAAAAAAGAGATTCAAATCAAATGACATTAATACCTATCTATAAATACCAGAGGAGCCAAGGCAGAGCTGGATAGTATTGACTATCGAGGGGTAGGCGTTAGTGTTACAAATCATATTTGGACCATAAATTGTAAACCCGAAGTAAATGGGCTGAAAATAGTAATATCTTTAGTTTTCAATGCCATATATTTATTTCTAGAATTACTTTCTACGGGTTTTTTCGTAGATGAGTTCTACATCCGCTGGATTTGAGATGTCATCAAATTTAATATCTTTTCTTATTTTATTTTTGTCAAAGAAAAAGAAAAAAAAAACGTATTTTATTACTTATTGCTAAGGTGTTGCCAAAAGTGTGACCCCACAAAAGGCCATGTTTTAAGCTAACCACATACATGTCCATGTCCTTTGTATGATGCATTATTTTGAATCTAATAAATAAGTGAAATCTTATGAAAATACTTTACAAGGAAAAAGAGTGTTTCTCTCCTCATCCTCATGTAATATTTTTTCCATTTCCAGTACACAGCCATGTTCATGTTATGCTAAATTTTGTATCTTAAAAGTGACATTTTACTTGTAACGATAAATTTTAAAATTATAAGTGAAATTCGTACTTATAAGTGATTTTTTATAAGTATAAGTGATTTTAATATTTATAAAAAAAATAATCTGATAAAGTGATTTTTTTAGTTATTAGAAGTATTTTCACATAGAATAATTTTTTTTACATAAAACTGAATTTTTGACTTAGAAATGATTTTTTAATTATAAACTTTTTAGTTATAAGTTGTTTAGCTTAAAAATAGACTTTTTACTTATAATAGAAAATTTATCTGTTACTTATCGATAAATATTTTGTTATAAATTTTTTTAACTTATAAGTGATTTTTCTACTCATATAATAAGCATTTTACAATTTATTTTAATTTTACTCATTGTACTCATAAATGATTTTTTTTACTCCTAAGTTAATTTTTATACTTACACATTTTTATGAATTTTTCGCTTATAATTGGATTTATGTTTATAAGTCAAATTCTCGAATCTTATTTACTGTAGGTAAGTAAATAAATGTAATTCAATATAACAAATCTTTTCTTAATTAATAAATTGCTGAATATATGATACAGCATAAACCCAACCCAACCCAAACCTAAACCTAAACACCCATCCTCTTATTCGCTCTGTCGCTACGTCTCTCTCATCATCTCTCCTCTTTGTTTCGGGGACGCCGCAATACCGTATCTGCTCCTCCACTGTTTCAAGGTAGCTGTAAGCTTTATCTCTGAGTTGGATTTATGGGATGGTTATTTAGATTTTTTTTTCCTTGTAATTTTTAGCCAAATTGGTCTTTTTTCTGTTGGATATTGATTTTCTGTTTAAATATGTATAACTTTTTACCCAGTTCTTAATAATTTTTACTCAATTACTTGCTAAATTATGTAAAATGAGGGGAATTTGGGGTTAAAAGATCTGTTTTATTTTATGTCTTTCTATATTATTTGGAATTTTCTGTTTACCGTATCTGGATTGCCTAATCAAGTTTATATGATTTGCACTCTCTTCAATTTGGATAGACTGCGTTGGGTGTTGAGAAATCTGGAAAAAATGGACAATTTTGGTGACATTCCTGAAGACGTGATTATCAATATCTACTTAAGGTTGCCTGTGAAATCTCTGTTGCGATTCAAGTGCGTTTGCAAATCATGGTGTTCTATCATTACAAGCAGCAGGTTTATTTATGAGCATTTGGATATGGCACTTGCAGACAACAGAAAATCTCGTCTTCTCATAATGCATCATGCTTCAGATACCAGCGACTTCTTCTTGTTCACTAATGACCAACTGACGACACCAACACCTTTAACAATTCCTAAAAAAGATCCTTGTTATTTTACAATTATAGGACACTGCCATGGTCTATTATGTCTTTTTGACGGCAATTCAGAGTTATGCCTGTGGAATCCAGCAACTAGAGAAATCAAATATATACCATCGTCCCCATTCCCTCCCCCACGCACAATCCATGGCGACGAGGATGCTGAATTTGGGTTTGGTTTTGACTGGAAAACTAGAGATTATAAGGTGGTCAAATTGGTTAGGAATTATTATGATGTTAAAAACAGTTATAACTATGGCTATCAAGTTAAAGTATATAACTTGAGAGTACAAATTCTTGGAGGAGAAAAATTTGTGGGACTGTGATAGAACCATTAACTCATATCATGACACTTCAGTCACTGAATGTGTCGCATCCGAGGTGGAGTCTAATTGCATATTGGCTGTCTTTCAGACCTATTTTTGCCGTTTCAGTGTGTCCGTCACAAAATTGAGCCCACTATTACTAAATAAGGCCCATCAATGTACTTGTGTAGCTCCAATTTAGCCCCTCTCTGAGTCCCATTTTTTGGGCTAAATGTGTTGATAAAAATATGAGTTTTGATAAAATGGGGGGTCAAACATAGGCTCACTGGACTCAAAACCCACAGGCCCACGTGATTCCGCCGTAGTCACATAACTTTCCTCTTCGGACAGAACCTATCAAGTCTGCATGCGAAATTTCTTCCTATGTTGACGCTACAAAATCTCTCTAAATATTCATTGAATTTCAATGATTTTCACAGTCGTGCTCGTGAAGAAAACTACTACGGCGGATAATTACTGAATCGAGATCAAAGGTTGTTTTCTCCATTCAGAGTTTAATTATTTGGTTCGGTTTCAACAGCTTCGAATTTCATTGCTAGGGTATCTGCCTTAACTTTTCCGGATTGAAGTTAGAATTTCTGTGTAATTTTTCCGCTTTGAATGCTAACCTGTTATTTTGTTGATAGTTTCCTTCTTAATTGTAATTTTTGGCCTTTTTTGAGCTAGGAAGAAAATTTTTATTTGGGTTTTTTTTTTTATCTATAAAAGAAACTTGTGTAGAAAAAAAAAAATTCTAAAATTACATGGTAATCCATTGGATACAATCTTGATTGTAAATTTGGGTGTGTACGTCTTTTTTATTAGGACAATGCTTGAGGAATCATATTCTCTATTTTGTCGTGTTTATCATGCTAAGGCCTAAAGAGCACATGCGAATAACAGAAGTCGAAGAGATCGTGATGGAAAATATTGACAAGGTAAATTATCATTTCATCTTCTAGTAACAAGAATATTAAGAGTTTAGAAAGTAAATCTTCTCATGCTCAGTAGTCGCCAAAAAGAAAAGAAAAAAAAATCCCTACTTTCTATTTTTTGTTTGGTTTAAACCTTTGACTGATCTCTTCCAGAATATTGTATTGAAAGTGAATCTCAATTGCTGCGAAGAATGTCCAAGGAAACTAGAGA